GAATACTTATTATTTCTCTGAATTTATTTTTGAAACATTAACCTAATTTTCTATTTAGAGGAATTTCCATTTAAAATTTACATTAGTGGAAATTTTTTTTTAATTCAATTAAGTCTTTTTTATATCCAAAACGAATTTCTATGTATATTTAAGTGGGTATGTTAATTAGATGGAATTTTCAATGGGATTGCGAATTTTTAATTAATTGAATTTTTAATTGAAGAGAATTATTTATTGGGAGGAATTTTTGTCAAAAGAAATTTTTATAGTGCCGAATTTTTATCAACAAGAACTTTTATTAAGACAAATTTTTAATCGAATTCAATTGGGCCGAATTTTTTCAAAATTTTATTCAAAATATTTCAGAAAATAAAAATTCTGTTTAATGAAAATTCAGGAAAATAACAATTCTAACAAATTGCATTTCGGACAAATAAATATTTCAGTTATTTAAAATACAATTAAAGAGAAATCCCCTGAAATAAAAATTCTACGAAATAAAAATTTTGCTAAATAAAAATCACACCCACTAAAAGAAAGATCCCACTGAATTAAATTAATCGAAAAAAGAATAATTATTAAATATTCAAGTTCAAATTTAAAAAATCCCTTTTTTTGCTAATTTAAAAATGAAAATAAATTAAAATTGTGTAATATGTATCGAAAATTAAATGGATTTTAGAATTAATGGTCCAGTTTTGTGAGAATGACTATGTGAAAGTTTTGACCTCGAAATTACAGTAACCGTCAACTATGTAATAACTTAGTGCTGACAATGGAGAAGTTTTAGCTTTGACTTTCCCCTGGTTGCATTCCGTTCTGCAAACCTGGACCGAATGATGTTTGAAGCTTCCTCCCTCTCTCTCACACTCTCTTCCTCTGGATTAAATTTACTATCGCGACTCAGTGAATATATCCCAAGACCTTATATGGAGAAATATCCAAGGTCTTATGTATATACATATATATATATATATATATAGTTCAAGAGAGAAGAGCCAACAAACAAGAATCTTCAAATTGAATTGTGTGTTGGAGAATACTAATTGAACTACATAGGAAACTAACAAATAGATATAGACATGCAGTATTCGATGACCCTTTGACGGAAGTTTCGCAAATAAAATTGAAAAACAAATTTACACCTAGGGGAAAAGTATTTTTAATGAAAAAAATTTTAATAAAAAATAAATTCTATTATTAAAATTATTAAAATTTTTTTATTATTCATTGTTTACTTCGAAAATAATATAATAATTTAATAATAATATTGCTTTATTATTCATTTATTTTATTATTTTTTACATTTATTTATTACTTTTACTACTAATTGATAAAAATTAAAATCCCCAAAAAATCGAACGAAACAACTAAGTAAAATAATCTCAACTAAAACTAACTAAAATTACAAAAATTAAAATTCATAAAAGTACAGAAACAAGAAAAGAAACGAAAATAAAAGCGAGAAAATATTCCTAAAGTAAAAAATTTTCAATAAAAAGGGAAAAAAATTAACGCTATTCCATATTTAAATAAACTATTCTCCACTATTTTCTTTACTTTTTTCCATTTAATATTAAAAATTTAAAACAGTTTGAAAGAATTGGACGAAAATTGACAAAATAAAATTGGAAGTTAAAATGAATATTCATGAGTGTCGTAGCCAAGTGGTTAAACCGTTGGACTAGAGGCGCGTGGGTAGTGGGTTCGATTCCCCTTGTAATTTTTAATTTTTTTTTCTTTTTTCTACGTTGAACATTAAAACCATAAAAAAATAATGGTAACTAAAAATAAAAATGGAAAATATGACCAAGTTGAAGTCCACAACGTTGATCAACGAAAAAAAATTGTTTACTTAGTAAATTAATTAAAAATACGCAGCAATATTGTCATAAAAATATTTAGAAAAAAAAATTGATGTTTATATTTTGATAATAATTATTTTACAATTAAATATTAAATTAAAAATAATACTTGAATGTATTAAATTAATTTTTTTCGTTGATAAACGTTGTGGACTTCAACTTCGTAAAATATGGTATAAAAAAAATTAACATACAAAACTAGAAACAAAAGAAGTAATTAAAATTACAAACAAAAACGTAAAATACCCTTCACTGTAAAGGACTACAAAAAGAATTCAATACAAACGGAAAAAAAAACATTTTTTAAATTTCAATGCTGCAGAGAGAAAAAAATCTTAAAAAAAAAATAAAGAAAAAAAATTTCAACAGAAAATGTAAAATTTATGAATTGTATACAAATACACTCATGGCAAAAATAAGAAATAAGAAAGACAAATCGAAGCGATGGAGATGTAAAATTTGAAGTGAATAGTGATAGTGGGTGGTTTAGTTTAGAGATAAGGGAGAGAGAGAGAGAGAAACAGAGAGAGAAGTACGTGAAGTAACGTGGGACAATAAACGTCACTTCCAGAAAGGTATGTCCTGAATTGTATTGACAATCGATATACCCGCGCGCTGCAATGTTCCTTGTACAACTTGCACACACAATCTGCACCCATGGAAATTACTCTTAAATCCCGTGTAGTATTCAAATATGCAAATATTATATTCTCGCAAGCGTTGAACAAAAAAAAAAAAAAAAAACGAAGAGGAAAGCAAAAGAGAAAAAAATTCGATTATATCCTACTACAAACAAAAATTGGAACTTCATTCTATTTCATTTTGCATTCAAAAGAGAGAATTGACACTACATATATATATTATACGTATCTATAAACATATATATTTGTGTACGTGAATGAATTTTATACAATATTCACGTAAACCTACATAGAAAATCGAAAAGAATCACAAACGATTGTCAGTTTATATAAATTGTTATCGGCTATTATTTTCTTTGTAATAAAAATATATGTCTCGCTAATCGATTTTTCAACAACTGGAATTAATTTTCCAATTTCCAAGGAATTAAAATTCCAAACTATAGAAAATAAAGAATTGTCGCGAAAAACTATTTTCGAAAATGGAAAAATGAAAAAATAAATGTTTCAGCTTACAATAACTCTCTCTCTCTAAAATGGAATTGGTAAATGAAAATGTCTATTAATTTGAATTAGTGATTGACTTTCTGTTTTTGAATTTGTAAATTTTATAGTAAATAAATTTTTCAAATTTTTATTTTTTATAATAAATTAGTAAAAAAGATTATTTATTAATAAAATTTACTAGGTAATTCACGAGATTTATTTTCAAAGGACTTTTTGCTTTTAAAATTAGTAAATTTTACTAATAAATTATTAGAAATTAATATTTTTTAGTAAAATTTACTAATTTAAAAGTTTTTTCATCAAAGGACTTTTGCTTTTGAATTAGAAAATTTTACTAATAAATTAGGAAAAATTACTATTTATTAATAAAATTTACTAATTCAAAAGCTTTTCTTTCAAAGGCCTTTTTGCTTTCAAATTAGTAAATTTTACTAATAAATTATTAGAAATTACTATTTATTAGTGACATTTACTAATTCAAGAACTTTTTTTAAAGGACTTTTTGTTTATGGATTAATAAATTTTACTTATGAATTAGTAGAAATTACTATTTAGTATTTACTAATAAAATTTACTAGGTAATTCAAAAGCTTATTTTCAAAAGACTTTCTGCTTTTGAACTAATTAATTTATTATTTAATGAATTTAATTTAATTTAATTAATTGATGAATTAATTTATTTTAACTAGTAGAAATTACTACTTATTAATAAAATTTACTAATTCAAGAGCTTTTTTTTAAAGGACTTTTCGCTTTTTAAGTAAATTTTACTAATAAATAAATTGGTAGAAATTACTATTTAATAGTAAAATTTACTAATTCCAAAGCAAATTAGTAAATATTTTCACTAATTCAAATTTAAAGAGTATTTACAACGTCATTGTATAATGTATAAGTTCTTTTATAATTAAGTTAATTATTAATTGTTTTACTTATAATTAAGTAAAGTAATTAATTAAATCAATTGACTTATTAATTAACTGTATTATTATTATATTATTATTATATTATTATTATTATTATTATTATTATTAATATTATTATTTATTAACAATTATTAATTATAAGTTAAGAAATTGTTCAAATAAACGAAAATATTAACTATTATAATAATTCACAATTCGTTTGTTTTCTTAATTAAAAAATAAACATCTATTTTCAGAGACAGAAAATATTTACGCTTTTGCGACATTATTATGAAGGAGTTTACACCGTAAGCCTTAAATATAAGCCTCCGCGCGCATAAACGGATATACCTCCAGGAGCATATATTTGCGCCTGAGCGAACACTTGGTCAAGGCAAACTCTTTCACAACACAGCTGCAGGCAAACACTTTGCGCAGACGCAAGTATATGCTCATGGAGGCATATCCGTTTATGCTCGCGGAGGCTTATATTTAAGGCTTACGGTGTAAACTCCTTCATAGAAGGAGTTTACACCGTAAGCCTTAAATATAAGCCTCCGCGCGCATAAACGGATATACCTCCAGGAGCATATATTTGCGCCTGCGCGAACACGTGGTCAAGGCAAACTCTTTCACAACACAGCTGCAGGCAAACACTTTGCGCAGACGCAAGTATATCCTCATGGAGGCATATCCGTTTATGCTCGCGGAGGCTTATATTTAAGGCTTACGGTGTAAACTCCTTCTATACAAGTCACGGACAAATAATGAAGTATGATCCACCAAGTGGAAAAAAAGAGGAAAAAAAATAACTTTGACGATTTCCGGGAATCGTGAAAGATATATGTGTATAAGTGTTAAATGGAAGTGGCGAAAGAAAGAGAGAGGGAGAGAAAAAAGAGAGAGAGAGAGAGAGAGAGGTTATTCTATAGAATAATGATCTCATTACGACTCGTAACTATCTTCCTTAAGCCAATTACGTTCAGCAGTAAAATTTAACTTTGACAAATAATTTTACTTAAAAATTGATCAATTTTTAATGGAATACTGAATTTTTAAAAGATGCCAAAATTTAAACTCACCAAATTTATACGTTTTCCAATCTTTTTGAAATTAAGTCGATTTTCTTTCTAATCTCTTTAGTATAGATTGAAAAAAATTCGTTTTTATATCGGTACCATTTTTCTTGACGAGAGATAATATTTCCCTTTTCTTACCTGTAACATAAAAATAAGTTATTCGTTAGTAAAATTGAAAATGATTTCTTTACTTAATTTTTTAATTAAAAATATATCTGTAATTTTTTAATTAAAGATATATTTATAACTTTCCAATAACTGAAATATAGATTTCTACAAATTTTTCAATTAATAATGACGCTTACGGTCACTGTATTTTTAAAATTCGTTTCAAATAAAGTTCGCAGTAGTAAAAACAGTTTTAGTCAGACGGAATGTTTGAATTTTTAAATATAATGTAACTTACAAAAATACTTGTAAAATAATTATTCGCTCAAACACATGAATTTTTAAATATCTTTTTGGTACCTATTTTTAAGCGAGTGGTGCAAGAAATTATTAAAAGTATAATTTAGCCTAGGGAAAGAATTTATTCAAAATATTTTTTTTTGCAGTTCTTCTTTGGGTTTCAGTAGTAAAAATCAAAGTCAGACAATAATGATTCGAAGTGACAAAAAATCCACTCTATCAATTTCGAGCAGTGTTAATTGTTCTTTTTTTGCTAGTAGTATAAAAAGTTTCAAGTCAGACAGTTGTGTAAATCCAGTGGGACTGAAATTAAGTAGTTAAAGCAAATTTTGGTCAGACAAAAACATGAAGTAGTTTTTCAATCAAAACCTTTATTTACAAAAACAGAAACTTCTATTTTTATAGGTACAAAGTTTACATTCCAAAAAATGCTTATTTTACCCTTTTATTATTTTATCAAACAACAAACTTTTGGGAAAATTAAGGTTTTCCATTAAATTAAAAAATAAATTTCTATTTTATTTTCTAAGAGTTTTTTTCAAGTTTCTTTTTTTCTTACAGTTTTTTTTTTTTATTTTTCTAAGAGTATAAAACGATTGTTCTCTAAGAAAGTAAAATTTCCCAATCGCGCATCGCTTTTAAACTGGTCGCTTAACTTGAAGAGAAGTACAGAGGGGAAAAAAAGAGAGTGTTTCCCTCTCTTTTTCTGTTTTTCATTTTCTCTATATATTTGTTTCGCAGTATCGTTCGCTTTTTCTTTTAAGAGTTTGATGCTGACTATTTTCCACTTTCTTCCTGTATTTCGTGTGCCTCATTTATTATTCCGTGAGGGTTGTGTTATTTTACCTTACCGGTCGTCACGCGCGCGATGCTGCAGACAACTGCGACGAGAGTGATCAATAGCAAAATGGAAACTAGAGAACGAGAGAGTGAGAGAGACATTTTCTCTACCGCATATATATGTTTATATATATATATATATATATATATATATATATATATATATATATATATATATATATATATATATATATATATATATATATATATAAATAAGAGAGAAAGCTCTCCTTTATCACACGGTGCATACATTTTCCAACTGGGCTTACATCAAAATTAGGGATATGCTACCAAAGGCATTATATTTTATTGCCACTATAAACTTCAAAGATACGACTTTATTTCCCAGCAACGTCAATTCTAACTTATCAAAATTATACCAGTGGAAAATATTTTTCATTTTTGTTTAATATTTTAATTAATATTTATATTTTCAATTGACTATTATTTATTTAAAATATAATTAGTACATAGTTTTTCTAAAGATATCAAATTGAGACAAAAAACGAATCAAAAAGTTGCTTCCAAACATTTTTGATTCGTTTTTTGTCCCAATTTGATATCCTTAAAAAAACTATTAATATTTTGTGAACAATTTCTAATTTCGATAAAATTGGATTTCCTTTTTTTTTGGAAAATTTCTTGATTATAAATTATAAATAAATTAAAATTAATTTACAGAGAGAGAATTTTCAAACTTTATAGAATATATTAGACTAGAATTTCCATTTACCTCTGAAATTGAAAAAAAAAATTTGCCTAAACTGTCACACTAATTTTATTTTCACCAGTAGAAAATTAACTATTAGTGTCGTAAAATTACTGCATAAAGTTATAATTAAAGAAAAAATTAGTTGCGTTTACGTTCAACTAAAATTTGAAATTTATTATTTCCATCAATTTTACAAGTTGATTACGTTCACGTTTCAAACTATGTACAAATTTTCCAATCAACTTTCGTTAATTACTTTTTGATATAAATATAGTTAAAATATTATTAACATTAATTTACAATTAAAATAGCGAATTCACAAAATTCAATTAAAACTAAAATAAACTTAAATTCTTAAAATTGTATGACTATTAAAATTAAATTAATGAATCATTAAATAATAATTTAAATTAGAGTAAACTTAAAAAAATTATTAAAATCAAATTATAGTTAAAATATTATCAATATTAATTTACAATAAAAATAAAATAGTGAATAATACAAAAATTAAATTAAAATTAAAAAATAAGAATTTATTAAAATAAAATTAAAATCAAATAAATTTAGTAAATTTTTACAATTAAAATACAAGGAGAATAATAAACTAGAAAAATTATATTAAATTTAAAATTAAAATAAAATTCGTAAATTATTAATATTAAACTACAATTAAAATAATAAACGATGAAAATTGAAATAAACTTGAGAAATTATTCAAATTTTATTTACATAAATATTTTACCTACATAAAAATTAAAATTGAAAAAAATGGGAAATTAAATGATTAAATTACAAAAATACTAATTAGTCAAAAACAAAAAATTTTAAAAAAATTTTTTAAAAATTTGCAAATAAATAAAAAAATGGTAATTCGCACTTCTAATCGAATTTTGATGATTTTTTTTATTTTTTCCTTCAGGAGTCATTAAAAAAAAAAATGAAAAGGGTATATATCTTTTGAAGTTTAACAAGATAAAGTTTTTGACGTTAATTAAAGCTCATTAAAGAAAGTCCAGTGCACAAGCTGTACTACCGAACTAACAAGGTCTGTCGCGCACGAAGTACTGTAATCCTTGTCCCGAAGACGAACGGACCCGGTCGCTACAATTAATGCTTTATCGTCGGAAGGAAAAGAGAGAGAGAGAGAGAGAGAGAGAGAAAAAGGAGAGAGAGTGAGAGAAAAAATAGAGAGAGAGAGAGAGAGAGGGAGAAAAAAAGAAAGAGAGAGTGAGAGAGAGAGAAAGAAAATGAGAGAGAAGGAAAAAAACAAAGGGTTGAAAGTCAAAGGATAAAAAAAGGAAAGAAGAGAAAGGAGACGAAGAAAGTTAGAAAACCCTCTCGAAATGTTACAGTGTGACAAGGTGCTCAACCCTCTCTCTCTCTTTCTCCCTCTATTTCATCCAACCATGATAATTAAAAATCGCAACTTTTGCATTGCGCTTTTTTAGGATTTCACCGTCCCGCGGTTTCAAAAAAAAGAAAAGAAAAAAAAAGCACAAACTTTTTAACTTTTGTATCAGATTTTTTCCTTTTTGGGGCAAGCAACCTTCTGACTAAAGGACTGAACAATTTATATTCATGAGGATTATTATTATTTTTTCTCCTTCTTATTTTTTTCTATTTTTTTTTTTTTTTTTTTTTTGCTACAGAAAGAATGCATTTTTCATAATTTCCCGCCTCTTTCTTTTTAGTGTGTGCACCTGACGCGAGGCGATTTATAGATCCCCCTTGGGCAGACACGTTTCACTTTTCCAAGAAAGAAAAGTGCTTTAATGCCTTTTCTGTTTCGAGAAACCAGTTTTCAAACTTTTCAATATCTATATCTGTATATTAGACATAGATATAAAAAAGATTAGAGGGAATTTTTCCAGTGGTGGGATTTAATTTAATTGCTCTCGCTTTTTCTTTATTGATAAACTTTCGATTATTTTCAAACGATTTTTTGCATGATTCACGCGAAAGAATTTATTTCTTAGATTTATTTTTCATCTTGATAATTTTTGCCATTTAAATGATTTTTTTTTAATCAAAAAAAGAAAAAAATAATTTTCCAAATAGTAAACAATTATTTAAGTCAGACAAAAGAATTTTTATTTTCGTACAAACATAAAAATGCAGAAATAAGTAGTATAAAGAATACTCGGGGAATTATATTCGATAAAGAAGAAAAATGAAGAAAGATAATTAAGAAAAGCGATGAGGTAAAAATAATGTGATATATAAGAGAGAATTAAAACGAATGGTTAGAATAAATTGGGTCTTAATCGATCAAAAAAGGATTACACTCGAGGAACATATTCCTTGACAGGATAAATCCGTCTTCATTCTATATATTTTTTTCTTCTCGTTTCACAAGAATTTTGCGATATTATTAAATATTAAAGCTTATAATAACGTCAGGTATTTAATTATTTGTGACGAAATTTTCCGAGTCCGTTATTAATCTATCAATATTTATTAATTATTTTAGTATTTAATTTACAGTAATGCGAATCAATCGGAATTGCTAATAATTCAAAAATCGTAATATGTCTATAAAATTTATTAAATTTAATGTATTTTAATATTAATTGTAATTTTAATATTAATTATTAATAAACGACAATTTTCATCAGACAAAAGAATTGTAAGCTTTAATTAATATTAGTATTAATTAATTTAATTATTAATTAATATTAGTGTTAATATTATTAAAGTATAACAAATTCATCATCAAAAGTAACTTTTCCCGTTCAATTGAATCAAATCGACTGAATAAATTCAAGAAAAAGATCAAATTCTCCAAAATATTGATACAAAAATTCTCTAAAAAAATATACCTTTAAAAAAAAGAGAAAAAATGTATTCCGGTATTTAAAAATAAAATGTATTTATTATCGCCAGATAATTAAGATTCAAGACGGGAGATTTTCTACTTAATTGAATTTCCCTTTGAAGTGAAAGGTGCGCGAGGATGGTGGGAGGTGAATGGGATGCTGGCCTCTTCGTTAAAACCAAAGTTCCACTATATTTAAATTTTGAAAAGTAATTAGTGCTTCTCTACTAGTTGAACGGTGGCTCAAGAAGCGAACCATCTTCGAAAACCTCAAAGGACATATCCAAGACATAATGCTTTCTTCGTCAGGTTCCTGCCAAGGATTCTTAAGCTTTGAACCCTGAAAAGCTCAGGAAATTGAAG